GGTGGAGCGGAGGGCCTACAGGTCGGTGAGGCACGTGAGGCGCTGGAGCCGGGGACCAGACGCCGTCGAATCGAATCACACCGCCGAATCGAATCACGGATCGACGCTATTGGCTAATCCAATTTTGAGTGGATTTGATTAGAGCGCCTGCACCGGTACCAGCAGTTCTCAGATTATTGGGCGATTTACTGGAATTCCAAAAAAATCGTTCGCACCGGTACTGTAACAATAGCCAGTAAAAAAGTTACTGGACTCCATACTCCAACAAATATTCCAGTAAGTTTGTTGGGATTTTTGTTGGAGTACTGGACTCCAGTAACTCAACTGACCAATCATATTCACCTGTGACTCGATTGATTCGTGGCTTTGTTCCATTCCAAGCTCCTTCGCGACTGCTCCGATGCAGCCAAGGAGCTTCCGCCTGCTCCGCTCCCGCTGGGGCCTACAAGTCCATGCTCCAGTCCTTCAGCTTTTACGTTGCTAGGCATTGACAGCTTTTACGTTGCTAGGCATTGACCCCTGACCCCCCCATCACGTTGCTGTCTGCGTCCTCAACGCTGACCTCAATACCGAAATTCGTACCGAATCCACAATACTACGTAGTACCATGTTACTACTTCGAAGTACATACTAGTAGAATTGAATATTAACCTCTATTAATACTAGTAAAACATTATTATAACATCTATTTCGAAGTAACACCTTATCATTTCCTGAATTGAGCCATTTTGTAGAAATTACATGCTTCAGATGACGCGCACCGTATTTTCAAGAACCGCTAGTTGTATGTGCTGAAAGTTGTGGTTACAAGCTTTAGTAGCCACCCTCTCCTTCGCGAATACCAGACAGTGCCTGTGTTGAGAGATCAGTATAGGATTTAATTCCACCGTCTTATAACAATGACACGACCGACTGAGTTGATGACATTGACGCTATTGACTTGAGTCAACGGGTGACGAAACATTGACTATGGCCTGCTCCGACCTGTTTTTTCTGTCCTCATATTGCGTGACGAAGGAATAATACACAACGTCATACCAACGTTAACTAGTTACATTGCCATTCCACCTAAGGTTGCAGTATCGTACCTATCCGTGGGCCAAAAAAATATTCCGATTGACTAACGTTAGCGAACTGCTCTGAAGCCTCAGCACAATCCAGAGATATCAGTGCGGGTGTCAGAGCAATGTGTCGAGTTTATACTGCCAATCGGTACATCACAATTCGTTGAAATAGTTCGAGTAGTGTACTACGCAGAACTCTTTGTAAGTCCATCGAATATGCACAAATGCTCCTAAACATACTTGAAAGGCATGCTAAGTAGCCTTTCAAACGTCCTAGCGGTTAACTCATACGGGAGTATCATCGTACAGGGTGTATGTACTACGTAGAACTACCTAGTACCAGTACTATTAATACTACGTAGTAGTAGTATTTTGCTTATTACCATTTCTAGTTTACACTATTAACTGTAGGTAGTAGTTCTACGCAGTAACTCATGTAAATCCCAATTTTAGTGGCCAACTATTTTGACTGCAACTCAAGCTGGAACGCTGGAACTGACAAGTGCCAAAACACGTAGTGCTCGTTTTCGTAGAAGCATGGTGGTGACGAATGTAGCCTTCACGAAGCGGTCGTGTGCATGTGGATGTCCTGTCTTCAGCATGAAGTACCTCAGGTACTAATAGCATCTCTCTTACCAGACACACAACTCATGCACACCACAGGCCCCACCGTACCAATGGCTCCAAGGTCACCTAGCAGTCCCTTTGCAAAGTTCCCATCACAGCGAGTTGTGTCGTAGGTCCTTCGGTGCTTTCCGCACTGTTGCCCCGAGCACACCGAGTCGCCATTTTGTGCGTCGTCCCTTGGTGTTGACGTGGCAGGCTCGGTCAAGTTCCTCCAGCAGGC